GCTGTGAGATGATTAAAGAGTTGAGAAACAAGCCTGAGTAAAGGTTAAGGGACCGAGATTGTTTAGAAAAAAAGACTGAGGGATAATGACTACATTCAAGTATATGAAGGGTTATTAGACAGAAATGGTATCCAGCTGTTCTCCACTTATTAGACAAAACACTAGGAATTTAGGTTAAAGAGGAAATAAGTGAGTATTAGAAGGTACTTCCAGAGAGTTGAGAGTTGGTATAATAAATTCTTAAAAGAAATTTCAGTGTTTTCTTTCTTTTTTTTTTTTTGAGAGACTGAATCTCCCACTGTCACCTGGGCTGGAGTGCAATGGCGCAATCTCGGCTCACTGCAATCTCTGTCTCCAGGTTCAAACAATTCTCCTGCCTCAACCTTCCGAGTAGCTGGGATTACAGGTGCACACCACCACATCCAGATAATTTTTTGCATTTTTGGTAGAGACAGGGTTTCACTATGTTGGCTAGACTTGTTTCGAATACCTAACTTTGTGATCCACCCACGTCAGCCTCCCAAAGTGCTGAGATTACAGGCGTGAGCCACTGCACCTGGCATTGAACAATTTTTATATTTTTTGTAGAGATGAGATTTTGCCATGTTGTCCTGGCTGGTCTCAAACCCCTGAGCTCAAGGGATCCACTGGCCCCAGCCTCCCAAAGTGTTGAGATTACAGGCTTGAGCCACTGTGCCTGGCCTACTTAAAGGTTTTTAAAACATATTTGTGCTACATAGTGTTGAAGATACATGTGCGACAAAGCAGCAGTCACATGTTAAAACTACAAACGTGGCTGGGTGCGGTGGCTCCCGCCGATAATCCCAGCACTTTGGGAGGCCAAGGCAGGTGGATCACTTGAGGTCAGGAGTTCAAGACCAGCTTGGCCAACATGGTGAAACCTCATTTCTACAAAAGTAGAAAAATTAGCCAGGTGTGGTGGCAGGCACCTGTAGTCCCAGCTACTCAAAAGGCTGAGGCAGAAGAATCGCTTGAACCCAGTAGGTGCAGGTTGCAGTGAGCCAAGATCACGACACTGCACTCCAGCCTAGGTGACAGAGACTCCATCTCAAAGAAAAGTGAAAAATAAAAATAAAATTGCAAACAAATTGAAATCACTGCTTAGGAGATGTTTTAAAATAGGATTAATTGTCAGCTTTCAGGTAATATTCAAGATACCAGTTTCTAAGATCCTTCACAACTCAAATATATTATGAATTAAATAGATATTTTCAATTATCAGTTAAACCCATATTATATGCTAGATACAGATATTTGTGGGGGAAATGAGATTAAAGGATTTGTCTATAAAATGCAGGCATTTACTTTGATGTATAATGTTTACAAAGGATGATATTGAATTTTAATAGAACAAAAACAGAATGTAGAAGATAATATAGAGCAGTGGATCGCAAACATCAGCATGTACCGGAATCACCTAGAGGGCTGGTTAAAACTCAGATTGCTGTGTGCACCTCCAGCGTTCCTGATTTCGTTGGTCTAGATTATGACCAGAGATTCTACATTTCTAAGAAGTTAGTGATGCTGCTGCTGGTTTAGGGACCACAGTGTGAGAACCACTGATAGATAATAATACGATATGTTGGCTAGCACAGTGGATCACGCTTGTAATCCCAGCCATTTGGGAGGCCAAGGAGAGCAGATCACCTAAGGTCTCGAGTTCGAGACCAGCCTGACCAACATGTAGAAACCCTGTGTCTACTAAAAATTCAAAATTAGCCAGGTGTAGTGGCACATACCTGTAATCCCAGCTACCTGGGAGCCTGAGGCAGGAGAATCACTTGAACCTGGGAGGTGGAGGTTGCAGTGAGCCAAGATCATGCCATTGTACTCCAGCCTGGGCAACAAGAGCTAGTTTTTAGAAATAAATAAATAAATAAATAAATCTAATTGAAAATTAATTTTTTATTGCAGCACATATGAGTTTATATGTTTTAAAAAAACCCGATTAACCAAAATCCATCTATATTGGAATAATATGAAAATGACATATACATTTGAAGGGAGTGGGCCTTTCTGGAATAGACCTGACATCTCCAACATACCAAACAAACAAACAAAAAGTATTGAACAAATTAGCTCAATAGACAAACTAGTGTCAGAGAAGCCAATTTAAATGAGTAAAATGTTGGCATTTTACACATTTTACAAAAAGAAGTATTATTATTCTCATATTCTGGGTTTGTTTGTTCATTTCTTTGAGATAGAGTCTTGCTATGTCACTCAGGCTGGACTGCAGTGTGCAATATTGGCTTACTGCAACCTCAGCCTCCCAGGTTCCAGCAATTCTCATGCCTCAGCCTCCTGAGTAGCCAAGATGGCAGGTGTGTGCCACCACGCCTGGCTAATTTTTGTATTTTTTCAGTAGGGACAGCGATTCACCATGTTGGCCAGGCTGGTCTTGAATTCCTGACCTAAAGTTATCTACCCTCCTTAGCCTCCCAAGGTGCTGAGATTACAGGCATGAGCCACCACACTTGACCACATAAAATATCTTCTAAGTGTAAAAGTGGAGAATTCTAAAATAATGTCTCTGAGTTGAATAATGTCCTATCAGGTCAAGCAGAAATTTCTTCAGCAAGTTGTTCCTTACAGTTTATCTTCATGTAATTATATCAAGTTAACTAAATCTTAGTCTCCTTAATCTACGTGATACAATAATAAAAACTCATTCACACTTATTTAGTGCTTATTGTTATCCCATAAAATAGGAATTTTTACATGAATTACTGCCAATGCCTAGCACCTACTTGGCACTCCATAGTGCTTTTACAAATGTTTCTGGCCAGACTCAGTGGCTTAGCCTGTAATCTCAGCACTCTGGGAGGTCAAAGCAGGCGGATCACCTGAGATCAGAAGTTTGAGACCAGCCTGGCCAACATGGTGAAACCTTGTCTCTACTGAAAATACAAAAAATTAGCTGGGTGTGGTGGTGGGCAACTGTAATCCCAGCCACTTGGGAGGCTGAGGCAGGGGAATTGCTTGAACCCAGGAGGCAGAGGTTGCAGTGAGCAGAACCCAGTGAGCAGAGATCGCGTATTGCACACCAGCCTGGAGCAGGGGAGAAGCATGAAGGGCTGTCTGTTAGAGGTTAAATCTCAAAGGTTGAGTATCAGGAGAAACCATGTGAAAGAGGGGCAAGTGAGTTCCAAGCAGCAGTGAAAACATTTGCAGTGGAAAAATGATGAGAAGAAAAATGGCTCACTCCAGAAATCACAAGTGGTTCAATACATCTGGAAAACAAAACTGACATCGATGAGGAGTGGCAAAAGATAGGTTGAGGAGAGCAGCAAGGACCAGATTGGTTAAATTTTTGTATTTTGAGTATTGTATTGGCTAATTTTTGTATTTTGAGTAGAGATAGGGTTTCACTGTGTTAGCCAGGCCGGTCTCGAACTCCTTACCTCAAGTGATCCCCCTGCCTCGGGCTCCCAAAGTGCTGGGATTATAGGTGTGAGCCACCGCACCTGGCCAAGAGTTCATGTTTAGATGTGTTGAGTCAAAGGTAAATGAACAAAAAGAAAAGAAGTAAACAGGCATGTGGATTGCTCTTTCCAAACATATACCTGTGAAGGGAAGAGCTTGTGAGGTTGTAGATATGTTTATGTAGGTCAGGGAAAGGCTTTTGAGGCTTTTGTATATGGTAGCCTCCATATCTCTGAGCAACTGGAGATGTCATTTTCTGAGGGGCAGGAGAATAATGAATAAATGTGATGGGTTGTGTGATTAAGCTTAGAATAGCTATATCATACAAGAAAAGGCTCATTTCAGATGCAAGGAAACATGGTTTGGTTAGAGACTATAAATGTGGAAGGACACTAATCCATTCACCTGTGAGATTCCCTTCTGGCCCCAGAAATCAAGGTGTTAGCCAGGCTTCTTGGAGGCTGAGAGAGAGCTGACCGCTTCTTCTTTCAAGTTCCCAGTGTATTTAGGCATGCCAGAATGCCAAGAGGTTCTAAAATGTGGTGTTTCAAATGTTTACACTTAACAAATTCATACTTTTAACATGGGATAATCACGAGGCAAAATAATTGTGATATTTACCAGATAATTATAGAATTTACTTAAACTGGCTGGGTGCTGTGGCTCACGCCTGTAATCCCAGCACTTTGGGAGGCCGAGGTGGGCAAATCACAAGGTCAAGAGATCAAGACCATTCTGGCCAACATGATGACACTGTCTCTACTAAAAATTCAAAAATTAGCTAGGTGTGGTGGCGAGTGCCTGCAGTCCAAGCTACTTGGGAGCCTGAAACAGGAGAGTCTCTTGAAACCAGGAGGCAGAGGTTGCAGTGAGCGGAGTTGCCCCACTGCACTCCAGCTTGGCAACAGAGCAAGACTCCGTCTCAAACAAACAAACGAATTTATTTAAACTATGAATTTATAATGCATTACAAACAGTGTAATTTGGTAATGAGATGAAGTTTAAAGTTCTACAAAGAATGCCTCCTTGTGGGCCGGGCATGGTGGCTCACGCCTGTAATCCCAGCACTTTGGGAGGCCGAGGTGGACAGGTTACCTCAGGTTGGCAGTTCTAGATCATCCTGACCAATGTGGAGAAACCCTATCTCCACTAAAAATGCAAAAAATTAGCCATACATGGTGGCGTATGCTTGAAATCCCAGCTACTTGGGAGGCTGAAGCAGAAGATTGCTTGAACCTGGGAGGTGGAGGTTGCAGTGAGCTGAGATCACGCCATTGCACTCCAGCCTGGGCAACAAAAGCAAAACTCTGTCTCAAAAAAAAAAAAAAAAAAAGAGTGCCTTCTTGTAATTGTATAGTGTAGGCATATCTTTGGGATGCTAGTGTAACCTTATTTAGACAAATTGTCAAAAGCTTTGGTTGAAGCTTCCTATGAATATGGGGCCAGGGCCCCATAAGCTTAGGTGTTGGAATAGATAACTGGATTAAAACAGTTTAACAGATTCGGTTTATTAAATACAAGAGAGAATGGGATTGAAAACATAGATAATTGTGAGAAGTTTATTTATTATTATTATTAATTTTTTCTTTTCTTTTTGGGGCCATGCTAATCTTCTCTGTATTGTTCCAATTTTAGTATATGTGCTGCTGAAGCGAGCACTATTATTATTATTATTGTTTTTTGAGGTGGAGTTTCTCTCTTTTGCTCAGGCTGGAGTCCAATGGCACAATCTCAGTTCACTGCAACTTCTACCTCCTGGATTCAAGTAATTCTCCTGCCTCAGCCTACCTTGTAGCTGGGATTATAAGCATGTGCCACCATGCCCAGCTAAGTTTCATATTTTTAGTAGAGATAGGGTTTTGCCATGTTGGCCAGGCTGGTCTTGAACTCCTGACCTCAGGTCATCCACCCACCTTGACCTCCCAAAGTGCTGGGATTATAGGTATAAGCCACCATGCCCAACATGAGAAGTTTAAACAATGAATTACGATTTTCAAACTGAATTGTCAAGGATGTTATCTTAGTCTGTTTGTGCTGCTATAACAAAATACCACAGACTGAATAATTTATAAATACTAGATATTATTTCTCACAGTTCTGGAGGTTGGGAAGTCCAAGATCAAGGCAGCAGCAGGTGTGCTGTCTGGTGACAGCTGCTTTCTGCTTCCAAGATGGTGCCTTGTTGCTGCATCCTCTGAAAGGGATGAAGGCTGTGTCCTCACACAACAGAGAGACGAAAGGGCAAAACAACTGAATGCTGTGTGAAGCCTCTTGTATAAAATTCTTAATCCCATTCAGAAGGGAGGAACCCCATGACGTAATCACCTCCTAAAAGCCATACCTCTTTAATACTGATGCATTGGAGACGTTTCGACACGAATTTTGGAGAGACACAAACATCCAAACCATAACAGAAATGAAGAGAAGGGAGTGATAGGTTGCAGAAAATGGAAAGGTTAAGGATAAATGAGGTGTAAGTAATGAAATAACAGAACCAGATGATTATTAAGAATATGGTATACTGCGGCCGGGCGCGGTGGCTCACACCTATAATCCCAGCACTTTGGGAAGCCGAGACGGGTGGATCACGAGGTCAAGAGATCGAGACCATCCTGGTCAACATGGTGAAACCCCATCTCTACTATAAATACAAAAATTAGCTAGGCATGGTGGCGCATGCCTGTAGTCTCAGCTACTCGGGAGGCTGAGGCAGGAGAATTGCTTGAACCCAGGAGACAGAGGTTGCGGTGAGCCGAGATCACGCCATTGCACTCCAGCCTGGGTAACAAGAGCAAAACTCCGTCTCAAAAAAAAAAAAAAAAAAGAATATGGTATACCATAGTTTGATTTCACTACTGGAGTATTTCTGGATGATGACAGAGTTCAGATGTAGAGGCAAGTGCCTACAATGAAGTAGAGATGAGGGTCCATTGTAGTTGAGAGGTCAAGTAATTGGAAGACAAGCATTTTGAGACAGTGATCGACATGGACATTGAAAATGGGCCAGGGTGAAGGTGGATCTTTCTGTGAAGAAGGTGACTCCCTATTTTAAGATGCTGTCAACTGATAATTGCTCTGCAAAATGGCCAGAAGAGGAAGGCAGTAGACAAAGGATTGAATATGTTATCTTTATCCCCTACTACCCTGTGACTGAAATCGTATAAACGAGGAATAGTAAGTTACAAAATTGTGGTTGATGATACAGAAGTGCTTACAGAACAGTCACTCCAAAGAGCCTTTCACTCCACTTATCAAAGTAATTTTGTCCTCAGTTTAATGGCAGGTAAAACAATATTAAACAAAGCAGCCTCTGCTATATCTTAAGCCCTTTAGTTAGTGTTCATAGTAGTAAATGCTCTAGTAAAGGGACAGCATCCATTCAATCCCAAGTTTTCAATCACTTTGATTCTTTTTTTGAGACAGGGTCTGGCTGTGTTACCCAGGCTGAAGTGCAGTGGTGTGATCTCAGCTCACTGCAGCCTCCACCTCCTGGGTTCAAGTGATTCTCATGCCTCAGCTGCCTGAGTAGCTGGGACTCCAGGCACATGCCAGCACATCTGGCTAATTTTTGTGTTTTTTATAGAGACAAGGTTTCACCATTTTGGCCAGACTGGTCTCGAACTCCTGACCTCAAGTGATCTGCTTGCCTTGGCCTCCCAAAGTGCTGGGACTACAGGCATGAACCACCACGTCCGGCCCACTTTGGTTCCTAAAGTTTTCTTTCAGGTAAAGTTTTTAATGCATAGTTTCTGCCTAAAGGTTTTGTTTGTGTGGACTGATTATCGGATATGAGAGGAAGGGACTGCCAAAAGGGTCCCTAAGGTTGTGCTTAGAAAGGGAGAGCTGCTGCAAGGAGAGGCTATGTCACTATCTGTGAAGTAATCTGTGAATACGGGACAATGACAACCGACACTGATGCAGAACTCACTGCATGTCTCAAACTGGGCTAAGTACTTTATATCCATTGACACATTTAATGCCTCAACAGCTATGAGGTAGGTGTTATTACTCCTGATGCTAATATTAAAGAACAAGAATTAAGTAACTTGTCCAAAATCTCACAGCTAGTAAATGGCAGAACTGGGACCTGAACTCAAAACTCTGTAACTCGAAAACCTAGAGATTTGTCGTTAAATGCACTTGACATTTAGAGGTGGGAACAAATCCAAGAAGCAGTCATCGGTGTCATTTACACTGATCCCTTTTTTCGGACAGGAAACTGGGGGTTCAGAGTAGTTGATTGGAATCTTCTGTTAGAATTTTGAGTGTCTGAAACCTGCTACCCTGGCCCAGCCCAACGAAACCAGGTGATACGGATCCTTCAGAATTCTGCTGGGCATGTTCTGGCTGGAGGAAGAGATTATCTTTTTGCTCACGGACTTTTTCCTTGCTTAATCCTATTTATACCTCTTTCACTAGCATTGTAGACAAATCATTAAAACAAGAAAGTCACATTTCCTTAGAATGGGCTAGTACATTTAAATTTAGACTGATGTTGCACAATCCTATGAGTATACTAAAAAAAAAAATTCAATTGCTTAAATATACAAATATGTACAAGTATTACTTAACATTGTATGGTATATGAATTACATCTCAATAAAGATGCTTTATTTTATTTTATTTTTTCTGTGTGAGAGACTTTATTTTTTTCTTAAGGCTAGTCAAGTGAAGCAGTGGGAGTGGAGAAGGAACAAAGAAATCTGTAACTGGTTGTGATCAATTAGTTGTAAACACCACTGCACTCGGACCAGCCAATAAAGCTGCTTTGAAAAAAAAACCCGAGAGTATGACTTTAAAACACACATTTCCATTGTTTTTGAGCGGTTTCCAATGAGCTCCTTGCACATCAGGTGCCTGCGGTGGCCTCCCGGCCCATTCATTTCTTACTCAGTCCACATTCGCAGAGTCCACCGTTGGGCCAGGCACAGGGATAGCAGGGGCAGGACCCAGCTCCCAGAGGATGAAAGAGAGGTAAAGAGGAATGAATGCTTCCACCTGAAGTAGTAGATTTTTTGGGTTGAGGCTTCGAGTGACTACGCTGCAAATTCGAGTACTGAAAAAGTTGATGTGATTTCAGTATTTAGAAAACGCAGTGTTTTTGTTTCTTTCAATAAGTTACAGAGTCACAGATCCAGGCTCGAAGCTTCAATTTCAGTAACCGTTTACCCCTTTCAAGTGAGTTTTTGCATACCAAGAGATAAATGAAACAATTACAAAATTAAGTTAACGCTGAAAAAAAAGCACCTTTATTAACATTAGCGTCGGCTCACAGTATCTATTTTAACTCCAAGCTATGCTCCCGGCTTGAAGCCCGCAGCGGCGCTCCGCTCGGCCGAGCCAGGGTAACGCGTGGAAGAGGTGGGTTCGCACGTCCTCTCTCCACTTCTTTCGGCCTTGGGCCTTTCGCAGGTCCAGGCGAGCTGGAAGCGCCTTTCCCGAGCCCGGGCGGGGAAAGGGCCGAGCGGTGCGGAAGGACTTCCTGCGGCCAAGGGCGGCTGCCTTCTCCGCAGAGACTACAATTCGGACCCAGATTGGACTCAGCGTTTGTGGTTCGCGAGGCGGAACACAGGGCACGCTCCGGGCCCTTGCCCAGCAGAGCGCGGGCGGAGGGCGGACCGGGTCCGGGTGAGCGGGTCACGTGCGGCCAGGAGCGGCGCCGCGGGCCGGGAGTGTGCAGGAATGTAGCAACTTGCAGCGAAAAGTTTTCCTGCGCGGCCGACTGGGCCGCGGTGCGGGCGGGCGCGCAGAGGAAGGAAGAGCCGGGAGGCGGGGCCGCGGCGGCGCGGGCGGGCGCTTCTCCCAACTTTAGTTTTGGCGTCTGAGGCGAGTTTCTGTCTCAGTCGGGCGCAGCCGTCGCCAGGGAAAAGAAAGGGAGGAAGGAAGGAACAAGAAAAGGAAATAAAAGAGAAAGGGGGAGGAGGGGTAAGGCAACCAGCCGTCCGGCCTCCGTCAAGGGAGTTGGAGGGAAAAAGTTCTCAGGCGCCGCAGGTCCGAGTCCCTCGCAGCCCCTCCCGAGGCGCAGCCGCCAGACCAGTGGAGCCGGGGCGCAGGGCGGGGGCGGAGGCGCCGGGGCGGGGGATGCGGGGCCGCCGCGCAGCCCCCCGGCCCTGAGAGCGAGGAGAACGCCGCTCCCGCCGTCGAGCCCGCAGCCCTCGCCGTTTCTCCACCTCGGCCCGTGGAGCCGGGGCGTCCGGGCGGAGCCCTCGCTCGCCTGGTCAGGGGGTGCGCGTCGGGGGAGGCAGAAGCCATGGATCCCGGGCAGCAGCCGCCGCCTCAAGCGGCTCCCCAGGGCCAAGGGCAGCCGCCTGCGCAGCCTCCTCAAGGGCAGGGCCCGGCGTCCGCACCCGGGCAGCCGGCACCCGCGGCGACCCAGGCGGCGCCACAGGCACCCCCCGCCGGGCATCAGATCGTGCACGTCCGCGGGGACTCAGAGACCGACCTGGAGGCGCTCTTCAACGCCGTCATGAACCCCAAGACGGCCAACGTGCCCCAGACCGTGCCCATGAGGCTCCGGAAGCTGCCCGACTCCTTCTTCAAGCCGCCCGAGCCCAAATCCCACTCCCGACAGGTAACCTCGCCGCCCCTCTCCCGGCTTCCCCGTCGGGCGGGACCCAGGCCGGGGGGCGCTCGGGAGTCGCGGCCGCCAGCTCTGGCCA